CTCTTTACAAGAAAAGAAGTGGGCTTGTTTTTAACATGCATTAACACAGCAGTCAGTAGGCTACATAGAAATGGGAATCCATCGCGTGGGGAAGTTGCATGTATGGAGGAAGAGAATCTCTGCTCTGCAGAGCTTTACAAACAAGGAAATGGGGAGCCACACTGCAAAGGGGTGGAAAAAAGCAAGTGCCCCACCTACTTCCTTGTGATTATTTAGGATGAGATGTGTTTCATTTATTGTAAATGTAAGTCGAGGTCAAGGGAGAGTGAGGCCTCAACTGAGAACTGGAATATAATTTCCACATCTCTTTGCAAATACACCAGACCTCAGAGGCTAGTTCTTTTCTTGGTGTCATATTAGACCCGCTTTCTTTTGCTCGCTCAACAAAGACACTCCAAACAGCAGCTGTGAGAATTTCCCATGTTGTTACGGTTAAGCAGTTAAAGCTGAGGGCAGAAGGTGGAGAAAGGTAAAAGATACATCGTGTTAGACACTAATATTTTTGTACTAGCAAAGGCTGGGAGTGTTCCTCCAGGTCCAGGTAGGTTTGGATGCATGTTTGTTTTCAAAACCCAGATGGTAAGAATATAATGTGGATTTTTAAAGTGCATAGGGTCAAGTTTTCAGAATATTTATGCTCCCACATGCAAGACAAGTGACAGTGGCTTTTTGGCAGTTTCACAATGGATCTTTTTACTTCAAGATCAAATTACTTGCATCCTTCTCAAACCACATGCTTTAGAAGATTTGTTTGTTCCCATAACCTGATGTTAACCGTGCTGATTCTCCAAAAATTGAACAAGCTGTCCAAGTGTCCTCCTTTTCCTCTCACTTATTCCTGAGGATTTTGAGCCAGACCAGAGATCACACTGAAAAACTGTGATCATGACCTGGTATACCTAGTTCAGCAGCTACAATATCCCATTTGGGATCATCTATAAGGTCACTGTGGAGACATTATGCTGTGCTACCCTCTTAGAGTAAGGATAAGGTTTTCAGAACTCAAAATCATGTAAAACCACACAACCCAGCTTTGAGCACTTGCTGAACAAGGGCTGTGTGGATGCAGAAGTCAAATGGGTGAGCAGTCTTTCCCTGCTTATTGGGGGTGGGGCAAGGAATTACGAGCAGGGCTTTAAACTAGGAATACTGTGGAAGGGAGATTATAACACAAATTTAAATGGAGAAATAGTGGACAAGAGTGAAAAGAAAATTATGCTGGGTCACTAGAGCAAGAAAAACCTCAGAAATGGTGAAACAAGGTGGAGGGGCTCACTTCTAGAGTAAGCAAATGCACGAAGTCTGGGAAATGTGCAAGAGTGACTAGAACTCTCCATTTGGTCATGAAACAATAATGTTGCTGGGACAATTGAGAGGTGGAGGGACATCTCTGACCACCAGAATGCTCTGATGCATAGGGACAAGCTCTTCAGGGGGAACAGACAGCAAAGACAACATGGGTTGTGTCTATGACCTCTGTGTGAAGGAGCCACTTGGATGTGAGGCTCCGCTATGGGATGGTTGAGAGCTACTGGAGATCTAGTGAGTCAGATTCAGTGAAGAGGACAAAAAGTGTGATGCTGTTGTGAGAGTGCACTATAGACCACCCAAACACAGTGGATATGAGAATGGGGTCTTCTTAAAGCAACTCAGGGAAGCCTCCATATCACAGATCCTGATTGTCACAGGGGACTTGGACCTCTCTGATGTTTGCTGAAAAGGCAACACAGTGTAATGCAAACAGTCAAGAGGATTTCTGAAGGATGTCTGTGATAAATCCTTGATACAAGTACAGGACAGGCCAACCTGTCAAGTACAATCAGCAGGCCAACAACCAACAGGACAGGTGGTGCACAGCTGGCTCTACTCATCACTAGCAAGGCAGAGCTGGTTGGGAACATGATAATCAACAGCAACCTAGGCTGCAGTTACGAAATAGATCTTTTCATTTTTCAAGGAACTAGTAGCTGGGATCCCACTGGAGGAAGCTCCGAAACATAAAGCAGCACAAGAAAACTGCGAGGGCTTAAAGTACACTAGCCTCTAAATGCAAGAAAAGACCCTTCTATTACTCAGAGGAATAAGAAAACACATCAGGAGATAAGCATGGCTAAGCTGGGAACTCATGGTGGAGCTCCAGTGCAGAAGAGAGAGGAATGCAGGAAGCAGGGACAGGCTGCAAAAGGAAAATCTGGGAGTATTGCCTAAGCATTTGGGTTGGTGTTAGGAATGTTAAAGCTTAGGAGTTGAGACTGCCCAGGGAGCCTAGGGCAACAGGAAGAGTTTCTACCACTACACAAACAGTAAAAAGCTGAACAAGGAAAACATTGGTTTGCTGCTGAATGGGGATCATTTAGTGACAGTGGATGGAGACAAGACCAAGACAGTGTGTACTTTGCCTCAGTTTTTGCCATCTAGGTCTTCTATGTCTCTGTGCTTAGAGATATGGCTCAAAGGATGAGGAAAACAACTAGCAGTGAATGAGGATGGAGTCAGGGATTGATTGTGAGATCTGAACCTGCCCAAGTCCCTGGGACCAGATAGGTGACACCAACAGATTTAAGGGTATCACTGCGAGGCCACAGAGATAGGATAAGATTCCTGACAACTGGAGAAAGACAGATGTTACAACCATTTTATGAAAAGGACAATCTAGAGAACCACAGCACTGTCATTCTGACTTCGGTCCATGGGTAAATTGAGAAGCAAGTGTCTGGCGAACATTTCTGGACACTTGAGGGAGAAGGTGGGGATTGGGAACAGCCAGCCTGCATTTATCAAGTATGAATCATGTCCTACCAACATGATTGGCTTCTATAATAAAATTACAATATTTGCAGACGAGATGAGAACAGTAGAAATCATTTACATCAACTTTAGCAAGGCTTTTGACACAGTTTTCCACTTCCTGAGGTTCTTTCCAACCTGACCTATCTTGTGAATCTGTGAAAAAAGAGCTTCCATTGCACAGGGATGGTCGAGTCTCAGACCATGCAGCCTTAGTGCACCACAGTCTGTCAATCTCAGTTTGCTTTTGGGCTGTAACAGGGAAGCATGAGATGATAGTAGCCACAGGATTCTTTTGGACATTCCTCATCTGGATACCTGAAGTCAGTCTCCAGGGTGTTACAAAGCATCCATGTGCAAGGATTATTCTTTTACAGTGTTTCAAAATACAAAATTTGTCTAATGAACGGATGAAAGAAACAGGCTGTGTTTGACCTACATGACAAATTCAAGAGGTGCATTTCTAATACATTTGATACGCTCTAATTACTTGAGTATTAGGAAAAAACTTGCAACAATACATGCTGTCAATGAGGCAAATTAATGAGAAGAGATTCCCTTATCATTTCCTTGACTTTGTGATCCAAAAAGGGTGAAAAGATGTGAAAGGTCATAATAGTTGAGCCAATATTCACCTGGAGAAAGGGGACTTGATGTAACAGGGTTCCCCAACACCCCTACTCCTCACTCTCTCCTGGTATGTGATGATCACATAGCAATGCTGTGATACGTAGAAATTAATCTGTTATTACAGCATCAAAATCTGTAGTAATAAATAACTATTCGTAGCTTTTTTTAGTACAAATATTACTTTCTATGATAGGGAACTGTATCAATAGAGTCTGGCCTGGTTAAAGCTATTGGACTGGGCATAGGCAAGTGCAACTCTTTTCTCATTCCAAACCACTTTTGTTATGTATTCCACAAAGCAAAATTAGGTGAAGACTGGTCCAAGATGCCTTGTGTCTCCTCCCTACACACAAAGCTTCTCTTAAAATTGTACCTGCTTCTGTGGAGTCCTAGGTATATGTTCAGAGACAGGTTTTGTTAGTTTTTTGGAAGTTCCTGTATGACTCAGAGGCAACAGTCCTGCTGACTTCCATTAAGATGTCCAAGTTATGTGGAGGCTTTCAGAAACTCTTGCACTGTTGCCCTTACTGTTGCATAGTCACCCTCCTTCCCCACAGTTAGGTCTGAGGTTTTCATCCTTGAAGTGAGATAATGGGTTGGTCTGAGTACATGCTCTTTTGTCCTATTCATGATATAACTTGTGCAAGGCTTTAATTATACAATTGTGAGGTGCACCTTCCATCAGCACATACGTATGTTGTTGAATATATTGTTTACTTCTGCCGTCTGGAATGTATACTTTAGTCATGATTTGTAGGCAAAGATAGACCTTAGCTCAGGAGATGATAATTAAACAAGTTCTGAGTTTTTCTGTAGTGTCCGCACTTGTACACCAGAACAGGTTTCTTTTCTCTACCCTGCTATAATATCAGGGAACAATGCTTTCTCCAGTTCACAGTTGACAAACTGAGGCCTCATGAGACCAAGGCAAAAGGATGGTCCCATGAAAACAGGATGTAACAATGTCTGTCTGGCCTACATTCACAAGATGAAAATCTGTCTCATGGTTTTCAGCACATGTTAAAAATACTCCAGTGATACATTTGAATTTTGACTGTAGTACCTTGAGTAGAGAGAGGTGAAGGAGAAGGGTCCAGGCAGTGAAGAGATACGTAACAGCAGGGAGGGTGGGATGAGGAGAAGAAGAAAGATAAATTTTCTCCAGCCAGCAGCACTGAGACTTTCAAAACAGCTTCATCCAAAGAGCTGTTGCAGGGACTTTATGGAGAGGCTCAATGAATCCAGTGCCCGGGCTGAGGGCGATTCCGGTATTGCATTCATGCCTGTGTACTAGTGGTGTTAGCTTTGTGCTTTGCCTAGCCAAATCTCCACGCAGTTACGTTAATTCTGTGCCTCCTCAATCCTTGCAGTTACCAGCTTATCTGATATTTTCAGAGCATTTTTTTTCTGTCGCTTATGTAGGCCCTTTTAATATATGCAAACAGTAAAGTCCAGATAGAGATTTACTCCTGACATTGCTGAAATGCAAAACTAGTAACAAAAAGAGTCAGTCCTTACATAAGCTTTGAACAACTCTTGAGAAGCATCATACATTGTGCACCGAGAAGAGAAAATCGACTCACCTATTAGTGGGACTGAGTCAGAAGTTGCAGGCATGATCTCAGCCACAAGCAGCATGAATACAGTCAGGGAAAGCAGGACAGTGATACCTGCAGGGAGTGAACATGAAGGTGAAAGATGAGGAACATGAACTCTGCAGCTGCTCCTCTGATGTCTTTGCTGTTAAATATGGCTTTGTCCTATGTATGGCTAAACCCGTCACTTCATGTCTATCAGTGCAGATGAGAACTTCCACAAAGTGAGGGTGTTTTTGGATGCAACTTTATCTGCTGTCCTTTCACTTTTCTCAATTACACCCAAATCCTTGTCCTCTTTAATGGAGAAATCTTTCCTGCAGAGTGAAATGAAGCTTGCAGAATTGGTAAACTACATTGTTTTTCCAAAATGTGACGCAAACAAAGTCCAGATGGTTATTAAGGGCTAGGAGAGACTTGCACAGGCATGAATTAAGTTTTTGGCTATTGCGTATTATGTAACACTCTCCAAAGAGCTGCAGCCTGTTTTAAAAGTAGCTCTTTGTTTGTTCTATCTGGAAAGACTGCTGCTAAACCTAACTCTTCTGTTGCTGAGAAATCACAAGGTCAATGCATGAACATTAGATCCTATTTTTATGTCAACATTGTACTTCAGCTCAAATAATTCTTTTCCTTATCTTCATCCTGTCTTTCACAGAAAGCAATTGTATCCTCCATAGCCTATGTTTTTCTTCTTGTAAAACAGGCTGCACAGATCCCTAGATCTAACACTGAGGGCACTTCATATGATTTAAAGGTCTCTGTCCTGATCAGAAGTGTGCACAATTAACTCTTAAGGTCTCCCTCAGGCCAGTCTTGCATATTTACATCTCTCCCCTGGCTTCTCTTGGAAGCACTCCTCCTGACTTTATCGACATACACACATTGTAAATCTCATTTAGCCCTTCCTTGGCTGTCATTGCTTTGTGTTCATGAAGGACTCATGGCTCAGTGTTTTGGGAGCTGAACTTGGAAGGTGAAAATCCTATACCCAGCTGCTGCTGCTCACAGCCCTTCAGACTTAGCCCTTCTGTGTCTTAGTATGTCCTATATGAAAAACAGAGTTAATCATCTGTGAAATGCATTGAGACGTACTAAAGAAGAGAGCAACAGGGATGACACAGTAATATCCCTGCTGCCTGTGCGAGAGACAAGTTCTGCCTCATCCCAGGGTAAAATCCAAAAGATTTTAGAATTGTTTAGCACAGGATGTGTGAATGCCATTCAGAAAGCTGTTACCCTGGTTTCCGCAACCAAGCAAGTGCTTCTATTGCTTCTCCAGAGAAATCTTTATTCATCAAGCACCACGAGGTATTTATTTTCCATTTTGTAGGAAGTGCTTACAAAAGAAATTAATTCTTCAGCACTTACCTAAAGAAATCTTCTCCCCTGAATCGGCAGGCAAAAGGAAAACAAGCAGTGCCAAGCCGGATATGAGAACACATGGAATGAGTAGGTTCAAGCCGTAGTAGAGGGTGCGTCGGCGCATCGTGATGGTGTACGTCACGTCTGGGTATGGCTCTTTACAGCATTCATAGTACATCTCATTCCTCTTTCCTGGGACACCTACAGAGAGGGAGATCAGAGCAGTGGGAAGAGGTGTAGGACTTCCAGGTAACCCCTTGAAATGGGCCAAGAATTGATGGTTTATGAGCCAACGCGTGGCACCTTCGCCAGGCTTTGTGCGTTGAAGAGAGCTTCTAAGTGTCCTTTGGCAATTGATAAGAGAGAAAAGACACCCTCGAGTCAGTTACCAAGACAAAAGACACTTTCTAACAGTTGTTCCCAATGCCGCACACATGGATGAATAGATTAAAGAGGATAAAGGAGGACAATATGCCTCAGTTCAATGTTGTTTCAAGGCTGAAGAACATTACTACAGGGTTAAATGAGCCAAGGTAACTCTTAGTGTGCCAGTGTCTTCAGCAACGTCTGAAGTACCGGTGCAAGATGTTTGCTGTTCTCAGTCCACATTGTGTGTTTTCTAGGGTTTATTTTCATGCTTTCTGAGTCATTAGAACCTGGCTTAGCTAAGAAAGCTCATCTGGGCCAGATCAAAACAGTTCCGAGCATCCTGACCTCAGCATGGAAAGATTCACAAGCAGTGGCCAAAGATTAATTCACTGAAACATGCGTTCTGTCTTCCTGAATCCAGGGAATGGTAACAAACAGCTGATGTCATATTTACTAGCCCATGCAGCAGGTTTTCTATGTGACAAATGCCACAGGTTGTTATTTTTTTGTCATTCTTTAATACACATTTGCTTTGTTTTTTCAGGAATAATGAACTGGATATGGTTTAATTTTCCAAAGACCTATCAAGTTAAACTTAAAGTCTGTCATATCTGAAGGATGAAAGACATAGCTGTCCAATATACATAGCTGTACTGCAGGGTTGGCCATGGTGACTCAGCTGCAGTAGGCTATCTGAGATGCTGCGTGGCAGGGACTGCAGCAGCACAGGAAATGTCAGGGGAGCTGGAAGAACTAAGCACCTTGTATCTTTCATGCTACCGTAGTTCTCTTTTTTGTTTCTGTCCACATGACAGAAGATGTGACAATGCATACGTTTTGGGAGGAGCACAGCAAGGTCTCCGTAAAGGATATGGCCATGGCTTGCCTGAGGTGTTACATAATGCTTTTGTTGTGTGAGCTAGATAAGGGCCTGTTTGGTCCATCTCTGGTCAGGGCTGAAGGCAGGTAAACCACAGGCAAGTCTCTTAGTCAGATGCGCAAAGTTACTGGACAGAATTAACCACTATAAAGGAGCGGTCAGGAGTTCTCTGAAATGGACAGACTTTAGGAGGACTTCCCTATGGAGTCTTTCAGCTTCCCATGAAACTGAATATTGATTTATGTTTCTTATTGTATTGTTTCTCAGATGCCCTGAAGGGTAAAACTACAGCATGCAGTTGGTCAGTGACAGCTATTTCCTTGTCTACATATCCAGACTAGAAGATGAAATGTCCCTTCTGCAAGCTCTCATTACAGTGGTCTGATCTCTATGAATTTCCACAGTATCGCTTCTGACTTACACCTCAACAGGTTCAAAATAACTCACTAGGAGCTCGCTCTGAATAAGTAGTTCTAGCCATAGATTTCTCTTTTGAAAATACAGGTATCTTCCAAAGCACAGAAGGGAAGAGAGACATACTGAACTGCTGTTATTTTTAATGTTATGACCTGGTAGACACTTCGATGGTTTTCTAAGTGAGAGAAATTCATTTCTGCAAAAGCTCGTTCCAATTTTGCTGAAAGTGTTTTTTACACTAATCAGTTTTGGGCTGACGTGATAGAGTTGATCTGTCAGTAGTGTTCTGTGCATGTACATGAGATATATCCAGGTTTAGTACTGATCAGTTATGAACTGCTCAGATGCCACAGGACCAGTAGATTTAATTTATGTACTCAGTTGCAGGCAATTGCTTCAGAATACAGGGTTTTCAGACACAAGTTTAATGAATGTGACTGAAAGGTTGTCTCTGATCTGTCATTTTTTTCTCTTTTTTTTCTGTCTCTTACATAGAAACTTTTAATACCTGTATTTCATATCCCAATGGGTTTGATCATTTCTATATATTTGGGGTTTTCCTTTGAAAATTAGACTACTGAAAATTTTTAAGTCAGGTGATTTACCCACTAAATCCCATTCTCCATTTGAGATGTAGTTGGAAATATCAGCCTCGAGCATCTGCAGGTCAATCAACCAGCCACTGTGAGTCCAGGAACCAAACTTCAAGTCACACTTCTGTACATCAAAGGGGAACCAGCGGACATCAATGTAACATGTGCTCTTCAAAATGCCTGTGGATAGAAATCAGTCAGAATCAAGCATGTACAGGGTGCAATTCACCTCTACTCTTATCTGTCCGATCAATTGTGAGTAACGTTCTTCCCCAAGAGTCTGTGTGATGTAGTCGTGGGGTAACCAAACAAGTAGTGTAGTTGGAAGATGCTGCCATGAGTGGAATAATCTCCCTTCCTGAGGCACTAGTGAAGATCCCTCTCTTTCACCGCATCCTTGAGATACATTGTCCAGGACACTCTGGCCACCTAGAGACAGCTCAGCCTGTCTCCTAGTGCTGGCTGGTCTCAGCAGATCACAGGCAGTGCTGCAGGGCCTGACAGGAGCGTGGAGTACAGAGATGTCCACACACTGTGGCTGGAAGTACTGTGACAAGCTTGAAAGGAGTTCCTTGCCAGGCTCTGCCTTAGACCCACAGTCCCCTGAAAAAACATTGTTATGCTAAACCTTGCTCAGTGCTGGCCTTTATCTTCTGCAGGTTGACCTGGGCCTTGAATTTTACTTTGGATGTGCCTAGTCCACTATCATTATTTCATGTGACGTTTTAGGCAGTTTAGGAGATTAATACTTGTATACTGTTGCAATCTAAATATTTCTTTTTTTCTGTTATTCAGCTGAGAGAATTAAAAAAACAACTAATGATGCTCCAAGCTTTCTTCTTGGGGCAACAGCTGTGGCTGTGTGACTTCCCCAGCTGTCCGGCATCATGGAGGGCTGGGGGAGTGGGGAAGGTGATCCACGCACACGCAGTCCGCGTCGCTGGTGACAGAGCACAGAAATCACCCCTGCCAAGCCTCGCCCCATGGGTTGACGGCTGTGCAGCCTTCCTTCGCCTTACCCCATCAGTTCACTGCAGGCTGGCCAACTTGGAGGCACTGTCTGAAAGACAGGCAGCTTCTGCTCTGTCGGAAAATTATCCCCAACACCGCGCTTAGTCTACCTCTTTGCAGTAATTGTTTCTGTGTGCTCCTTAAAATACCAGCTAATGCGAATCCCAGCTCTAAGTCACCTAAGTGAGCGGAGTTTGATGTTTTACATCAAGTTCTTGAGCCGTGCCTTCTGAAGATAAAATCCCCGAAACAGATATTCTTGATTATTGTCTTTGCTTGCTGTTGCAAAGGCTGAGGGCATTGTGACATAGCTGTGTGTGCAAGACCATGTCGCTGCACAAATGCTGCAGCTCTGGGGTGGCTGAGTTCCCTTCATTTGTCCCTTTACATTCTGGGAGGTCTGTATTCCACTGTCATGGCCATTTTTGGATTGCCTACACGGAGGCTTTTCTTCCAGTTTCTCCTGAATCTTGGCTCTGCTCCTTTCCTTAACAGCAGACAGCTGTCCCCTTCTTGTCCTTTCTCTTTAGTTCTCCACCTATCTTGTTTCTCTAATGGAGAGTAGCAGTGAGTACAGCCTGCTTTCAGAGTCATGGGAAATAAAACTTTCATGAAGGTTTGGAAACACCATCTTTTCCACTCTTCCGTGTTTTCCAGTGTCTTGATTAATCTAGCTGCTTCTGTGAGCCCTTGTTTCCAGTAAGTAGGTTGATTATCAACTTTTCCCTTCTAAAATTTTGCAAAGTAATTTGGAAGCAGTCAAAACCCTGTAACAAAGGGTTTCCTGTGCTTTACATAACAGATTTCATTTATTACTTTTTGTCTCTTTACTCTTTCCTTGCATAACCAACTCTTCATCAAGGAGTTTGTAGTGCACCAAGAGGTAAGCAGGACACCAGATCTGCCCATACAGGCTCCCTCTGCATCATTTCCCTATCTGGAGGGACGGAGAAGGCTCTGCTCTGATACATGCCAATTTTACTCTTGTCTCAGGTTGCTCTCTGGCAAGCAACCTTACCCATGGGTCTGTTCCAGTGAAACCACAGGGATGCTTTAAAGGGTCTCAGAGGTAGGGATCAACAGAGGACCATGTCGTCAGGGAAGACTCACTTGTTCTCTGGTGGGCCATGTGAACATACTTTGGGTCAGCCTGCCAGCAGCTATGAGATGCAAAGCTTGGTCGTTTCTTGTCCACCACAGTGAGTGACCATAGGGACAGCCTGTTTGCTGGTAGGCTCTGGCTGCTGGGACCTACAGGCACCGAACCAGCAACACAGATGGGAAGCAGGCTGAGACTTGGGGTGTCTGGCTGAAACTGGCTTCAATTTGTCTTTTCACCTGGAGCTGTAGCTTCAGCCTGGCAGGAGTGTCTTCACTGCACACAGAGTGCTGCCCTCAGGGTCTCCTGTGGTCACACGCCTCTCTGCTCTCAAGAAAGAGCCAATTGAATTGCACACGAAACGTGATGTGAGGGTGTACATCACCTCGCTTTAGGCAACACCTCAGTTGGGCCTCTGAATGTTCTAAGCAAACTGCTCAGGAGAGTGATTTATTGATTTGTGAAGTGGAAATACACCACTAATAATGGACTTAAATTATTTCAGTGAGTTTGCCCCATAATTACACAGCTTGCAAAATTTCCACAAACTGCTTCTAAACACCTTGGTTTTATTCATGAAGGAAAACTGTTTGTAGTTATTCAAAGCTACACACTGACTTAAAGCAAACAAATGCTCTTTGTGCCCTACCTGGAGGAATATATTGGCAGGATCCAGAGTAATTCACCAGCACATTTGTGTGAAATGTCGCATCAAATCTTTCATCTGCACTGTAACACAGAATAAACAAAACAAAACAAAACAAAACAAAAAGCAAGCTGACATTTGAGTTAAGATGTAGTAACTGTCATCATAAAAATAATCTTTTGGCTGAATTTAATACACAGAATATCTGAATTAAGGTCCTACGCCTGTGTGAAGAATCCACCCTCAATCAGTATCTCGGCTTCTCATGGACACTGTTGGCCTCCACCCAGGCATGCTGGTTGCACACTACAATGTACACACTACAATGTCCTCAAAGAAGTGAGAGGGAGAACAGTTGGATATCTCAGAGCAAAGGTAGAAGTGAAAGGAACAAACATCACAGTAGCTGTATCCAAAGATCGGAGCGTTGGGAGGATGAGGCTTTTCTAGGGCTGCTGTCAGATTCAGGCAGTTTACACCATAAGTCAAGTTACCTGTTACCCAGATATCTGTTGTCAGAGTCATGGTGGCCTGAGGCAACAATTCTGCAGTTTCTCAGGATCCAGAAGGGCCAAGGTTTTGCTTCAAGTAATGGAGGAAAGGACTGGGAAGAAGTTGTTTTAGATTGGGCACTTGGAGGAGGAGATTCATAGCGTTTCTAAGAGCATAAACCAGGTGAAAAGGTCTAAGAAAAGATAATTTCTTTAGGATTTCAAAAATTCTGAGAAAAATAAGGGAGTAATGAGCCAGGCAAGGACAAGAATTCTTCAAGGGAGCAGGCCTAAGGTCTTTCTGCAGAGAGTCTTTTGGGCAGAGATTAACTACTGAGGGTTCCCTTGGCTGATGCTGTACATCATTGCCTGTCATGGCTATGTGCAGGTCTGTGTTACACAATTAACACATTCTGTAATTATCAATTACACAATCTTACACACTCTGTCTCACAACCAGATGTGGAAAATTTAGACCCTCTGTCTCTCCTGTGACCTGCTCTTTACTCATGTCTGAGTCCTAGGTCCTCAGTATTGTCCTCAGCACAAAACAAAGGGGATAAAATTGAAAAGACTAAGTACAGAGTGAATGATAACTACCAAAAATCATAAAAGGCAGCAAGAAAGATTTTTATAAATGCAAGGAAACAAGGAAAAGACAAAGGACCAGATAGATCCATTACTTGCTGTTGAAGCAAAGGAAACAACAGGGTGCAGAGAGCTGCAGTATCCTGCAGCCTCTGTGCTTCACTCTTCAAAACTGTGGCTCATCGCAATTAATTCTCACACAGTGGCAGGAGTCCAGGGCAGAATAGGGAGGAGCATGTTAAAGAAGTGCAGGTAAGACAGATTCCAGTTGGCAGGGCTGATGAAATATACTCTTGAGAGCTGAAGGGACTGACCGAAATACCCTCTGAAGCGTTAACAATTATCTGTGAGAGCTCATGGAGAACAGGGAAGGGCCCAGTGAATTAGGGAAGATCAAAGAGAATTCTAAGGTTTTTTTAAAAGGTGAAATTATAGACACATCAGCCTAACTTCAAAGATAATGAGGTGAAAACAGCTGGCACAGATTTGTCAAGGGCCAACTGCATCAAATCAATCTAATTTTCTTACTATCTAAGAGGAGGCAGGTGATATATCTGAACTTCAGAAAGTCTTTACCACATCGTGTTCTTATAAACAAAACTACAGTAATACGGACCAGGATATATGTTTCCTTTTTAGAGACTGAAAAGGAACAAAGAGACTGTGACGAGGAAAGCTGACGTAAAGGACACTTAAAGAACTCAGGTCGCCCCAAGCCTCCTTCAGATATCTTGTACTGAGTGCTTGGAATGGAAAATGGATCTTGATTAAGTGGGGAAACCTATAGGATGAAATTCAATCTGGACGATTAGAAAGTATTACCCTTAAAACTGGCAGAGAAAGACAGATTTGTGAAAATCTAGTAAGACAGCAAGGCTGAAGTACAATATCTGGGGTATGTGACAGATCAAAAAACAAGACCAAAGCTAAGACGTTAGTCAAAGCAAAACCAAAATCCCCTACTCCTGTAAAGCATTAAGGAAACATCTGCCTAGAGAGCTTCCACCCCCTTCAACACTGCAGAAGTGCTGGCTAGAGAGATGGATTCAGCTCTGGAAGAGGAAAAACAGAATAGAGAGTTTTCAGAAGAGAAGAGGAATGATGCAGAGAATTATAAAATATGAGTGATGAGGAAAGCGAGAAGAAAATCTGTTTGCTTAGTTCAGGCAGGAACACTGTGGCAGAGATATGATAATTTTCCAGGGGAGCCATGGTACTTATAAGGAGAATTTGGATCTTTCTCTCTCTGCCTTCACTGGGAAAAGGTAAAGAAGGCATCTGCAGAGCTACAGCAAGGAAGACTTAGATTGGCAATTAGAAAAATCTATTAGGGCCGTTTCTTTGCTTTTTTGTTATTGTTTCAGAAAAAAAAGAGCCAAACCTCCAGATGGCAAAACCCCAGATTATCAGTGAAGCGTGACTGATTTCCAGCATCTAATGCTCTAGTTCTAGGCTCCCACCGGCCATTGCGTGTCTTACTTACCTGTTATACAGAAGAATGTCTGGTACCCAAATCTGGTCAGCTGGAAATCGCAAGTTCTGCACCCCTGGGTATTCATACTGATCCCAAGATAAGTAAACATCAACCCAGTACTGTTGGCAAATAAATACATCAGATTATATGAGCTGGCAGAAGTCTTATAAGTTTTCTGCAATAGTATGGGAATAGAATGGTTTTTGTCAATAGCAATAATAGTAGTATGATAATAGTTTAATGCTCAGCTTCAATTATTAAGAAAGGTTGGCATGTACACTGAGGAATCCCCAGTGTGAAAACTGAATGCTATGAACCGTATTTTTGTCTAGTGTCTAACCCCTCCACCTCATGGCCTGACACAAGGCATGCCAAACTTTTCTGGTGGGCTGGCAGAAACACTGTCAACAGGCACCTCCACAAGGCGTGCTGTTTCTGAGCTGAGGTGGTTTGAACGACACAGGTATCATCACTGGTATGTGGACAACAGTCCAAGAGTCCCTCTTTGGTGGAAATAATTTAATCTAGTCTAAAGATTGGGTGATTCTTTTGATAACCACCTTGTTATGAGAGATAGACAAGTGAACCTTTTATCCCAAGGGATTGTTTCTGATCCCTGTTCCTCCATCCCAACAGAAATAGTTAATTCACGAAAGGTGCAGGCACAGCTTTTATGCTGAACCTTGTGACTTACAGCAAAGCTCTATGGGAGGTTGCAAGGGAAACAGTTATCAGTGCTATAACTGAAGAACACCTCTGCACGGGACAGGACACCCACAGGCTCTGTCCTAACAATCCTGTAGCCCTATAGATTGTTCTGGGTTAGCTTTTGCATTAGAAAACCACTCATTTCTGCTGCAAATCCCAGCAGGTAGCCTGTTGAGTTGCACCCATTAACATGAGATATTGTTTGGCTGGTAGAGTCAAAGCAGAATTAGTTCAATCATTCAAGTCTTTCACAGGCTTTTCCCTCCAGAGCTGCATCTTTACTGAGCACAAGCCATTAAGGAGAGTGGTTTACGTGCCATGAAAAAAGACCATATCTCTCGCCATACGTGGCCAGCAGCAGACCTGACAGGAAGCTCCCTCCCACAAAGCCCTCAGAGAAGATCAGTTTTACTTATCCTGCACAACCGGTGCAGGTGACGACTCCGCTGGAGCAGGTTGCAGAAGAGAGAGGAGGAACATTTGTGGATGAGGTTTGTAACGCAAAGGGAAGGCAATATTCCCGCTGATGTGCCTGGGCACTGCCAGCAGCAATGTGGCACAGGGCTGCTGGCAGTCCCTGGCCACCCCACCGCCCAGCCCCAGCAGTCTCCTACGGTCCAGCATGGCAGCTTCGCTTCTATGTTGGGGGGCAAGTGCTGGGGGTCTTTGTTCCCTGCCTTCCACAGGGGCACCCCTGGATCCTGGTTTAGACAGAGGTGGGGCTTTCTCAGAAGCTGTGAGTGGAGGGCACCTGGGCTTTATTGGGCTTTTGGCTCCTTCACAACAAGTTCCCATCACTGGCCTTGGAGAGGACGCTGAGCCCCTTGAAGAGTCTCTCCTTCTAATATGGTGCGACCATAACTTTGAGCTCTTTGTTACTGGATCCCTTCATCCACCGGCCTAACAAGGCAGGTGGTTTCACCCTCCAAAGGCTAACAGGTCTGTCCAAAGGATTGGTGGAGTTTCCTATGTTTCATTTTCAAGGCTAAAAGGAGCACCAGAGAAATTTCAAAGGACTCAAAATGCCTGCTTGTTTCACACTATAGACAAGTTAAAAGACAGCAATCTTGCTTTTCAGCTAAGAAATCACATTCAGTAGTTTGCTATTAGAAAGAGGTTTTTTTTTCTTTATTGACACAGGTTACTCACCATTTGCAGCCAGGCATTTGTGATCAACACTTGATTCTTCTCATCCTTCGAACAAAAGGGGGAAGGAAAGGGAAGAGAAGAGAAAAAGGGACGAGACTCAAAGTACAGTTTGATTACAGGTAGAAGAGTTTCTCTTTCTTTAGAAAACCCAGACTGTTGGGATAAATAAACACAAAAACTTTATGGGTTAGTTTGTGAGCTCAGTGCAAAACCACTGAATTGCATTATATCGCCCAGGCAATAATAACTCTTTTCTGCCTTTTAAACCTGCAGACCGCCTGCATTTATCAGAACTGATCAACAACAGAAGTGAAAATAATCACTTTCATTTTGCTGAGGACAATCAGGTTGCTTACCAAAAACACAAGTATTCCTTCTAGCCAGTTGGTCAAAACAAGATGATTTCCAGTACCACACAGCATGCAGTAGTTGGGAGAAATTTTATGTTATAGTTGCTGCCACTGCAAAATGATGGTGAAAAAGAGCTGGAAGTCCTGTTCCTTTGGAGTGTCGGTATTACGTAGCTTAGCTCAGGCTTAGAGGGAAGGACTGGCTGGCCTTGGGCAAAAGCTAACACGCAGCAAAAGGACAGAGATGCTCCTGAGAGGGAGCTCACATGGTGCCTGCACAAAGCAGGAGTTTGTAGGTTCAGACACCTGTACGCAGAGGCCACGGGGAAGCTGCTCTGACTCACAAAAGAAACAAAGAAGTCCTCACCCAGCAGGTCTCCAAGTGCTTTGGGGAGCTGCAGGGTGCTTAGCTTGCTGCAGTTGGCAGGTGCAGGACCCTGTGGTGCTAGTGCCACAGCCAGGATAGAGAGCAGGGCTGCAGAGTCATCGCAGTGCAGACACCCCCATACACTGGGTGGCACAGCCTGGCACAGCTCCAGATGCCACCACAGGCACTTCCCAGGAGCTGAGACGGGGGTACTCGGTATTATTTTAGAAAAACACCAGTCTGCTCACCTCAAGCTACATTTATGCTCTCTTTCCTCCCCTCTTCATCTCCAAAGCTACCCTCACAGTAGCTATGCAAAGAAACTACCCTAAAAGCACTAGGAAAGACGTGAGCTGCTCAAAAGCAGACTGCATTATCTCACCCTGAGTGTGAGCTGCATCACTAGGTGTGTGCTTTCTCCTGTGAGGCCTCTGGGTTTAATTCATGTGTGTCCCACACAGGAACTATGACTGCAGACTCCTAGGATAATGCACGAAGTAGAACTGCCTGGTGAAGCCTCCTAATTACTGATTCCCCAGCATATAGGATACTGGACCACTGGTACTGCTGAAACCTTAGCATGAACCTTGTCTGTGTCATGCTCTCCTCTCTTCTCTCACTTGGGTTGTTGGAACTGCATAAACATCCCAACCTAGAAAGGGAGACATCATTGATCTGGAGGATTCCTGATAGTTTTGGCACTGTGGGCAGAGTTATCCTCTGCAGCCAGGCTCCTGTTCCCAGGAAAAGCAAACTTCAGGCATGAAACAGGCCTTTGCCATAGTCCTCTATGCAAAACTGTCTATCACACTACCTCCTCTCCTGCTCCTCTTAAGTACCCTTGAGACCTGCCTAAACTGTTTCTGCTTCTGTGACATGCTGCATAAAAATCAGATGGGATTTTGTATCATGTTATATTGTTTTTATGTTTCCCATTCACCTCTCTGCTGCTCCCCAAATCATGGCAACAGATACCTGCCTCGCTTTGTGCAAACCACAATCCACCTCCAGAGGCCCTGTCCATCTGCAACTCCTTTTGTCCCCTTGGCTGCAATTGCTGAAGCAATTGTGAGAAAGTCCACAGAAAAATCATAGAATCATAGAATGGCATAGGCTGGAAGGGACCTCAGAGATCATCTAATCCAACCTCCCTGTCATGGGCAGGGACGCCTCTCAACTAGATCAGGCTACTCAAGGCTCCGTCCAATCTGGCCTTGAACACCTCCAGGGAGCGGGCATCCACAACTTCTCTGGGCAATTTATTCCAAAGTCTTACCACCCTCGTACTGAAGACTTTCTTCCTAAGATCTAATCTAAATCTGTTCTCCTTCAACTTAAATCCATTTTCCCTTGTCCTATCAGTGGACACTTTTGTAAAAAGTCCCTCCCCAGCCTTCCTGTACGTTCCCTTCAGGTATTGGAAAGCAGCTATTAGGTCCCCCTGAAGTCTTCTCTTTTCAAGGCTGAACAATCCCAGCTCTCGCAACCTGTCCTCGTAGCAGAGGTGCTCCAGCCCCTGGATCATCTTTGTGGCCCTCCTCTGAACACACTCTAACAAATCTATGTCTCTCTTATGGTGGGGACACCAGAACTGGACACAGTATTCGAGGTGGGGTCTCACAAGAGCAGAGTAAAGGGGGAGAATCACCTCTCTTGACCTGCTGACCACGCTTCTCTTGATACATCCCAGGATGCGGTTGGCCTTCTGGGCCGCATGAGAGCACTGCCGGCTCATGTTGAGCTTCTCTTCTATAAACACCCCCAAATCCTTCTCTTCAGGGCTACTCTCAGTCCACTCTGTGCCCAGTTTGTATTTGTGCCTAGGATTGGCCTGACCCAGGTGAAGGACCTTGCATTTTGACTTGTTGAAGCTCATGCAGTTTGCACTGGCCCAATTCTCAAGCCTATCAAGGTCTCTCTGGATGGCATCTCTTCCCTCAAGTGAGTCCACGGCACCACACAACTTGGTATCATTGGCAAATTTACTGAGGGTGCACTCAGTGCCGTCATCCATGTCACTGACAAAGATGTTGAACAGCACTGGATCCAGAACAGACCCCTGAGGGATACCGCTTGACACTGGTGTCCATGTAGACATTGCACCATTGACCACAACTCTTTGAGTGCGACCATCCAGCCAGTTCTTTATCCACCGAGTGGTCCATCTGTCAAATCCGTGTCTCTCTATTTTAGAGACAAGGATGTCATGTGGGACAGTGTCAAATGCCTTGCACAAGTCCAGGAAAATGACATCCGTTGCTTTACCCACGTCAACCAGAGCTGTAGCTTTGTCGTAGAAGGCCACTAAATTAGTCAGGCACGACTTGCCCCTAGTGAAGCCATGTTGGCTGTCACCAACCACTTGGTCATTTTTTATGTGCCTTAGTACAGCTACCAGGAGAATCTTTTCCATGATTTTACCTGGCACAGAGGTAAGGCTGACTCGTCTGTAGTGAAAAGAAAAATCACACACAGGACTAAGCTTGTTGAGACACATTTTTCAGATACTGAAGTATTCAAAGTGATAAACACCAATTTGGAAAGGTATAAAGTCATAAAGTAAAAAAAAAAACCACAAAAACAAACATAGCTGGTAATTGATGGGGTCATCAGAGCTACCTATGTCAACTGACCTGGGAAATGAAAACAACACTGCAATATAAAGACTGTCCCAGGTATCCTCAGAGGCCAGCCCTTCCCTGTCTGACTGATGCCTTCCTGGCCACCAATGACGCCTCAGGTGTCTTCTAGGGATGGTGACCATGATGCTAGTCTGAATTGTTCATTAAATTCTAGCAATTTTTGTGTTGCTAGCCAATCAATAATTGCTTTATACTTGTAGGCTGCACATGTCCTCCTTGCAAAGTCTTTCTGTCTACTGCTAAAGCAGCATGAACACCATGACCGAAAAGATGGGCTGCAACTTTCCTGTGCAAATGAAGGTTTTTCTCCATCTACATTGCACCCTATAGGAAAGGAGAGGAGTGGACCTTACTCTTTTTGTTGACTACCTGATCTGGGAAGGATAAAGGATGAGCTCCAAGTGTTTGTGCTTGCCCGGAGAGAGGGTTGAGTTACAGGGAGGGGCCGAGTGTCTCTGTCTCTTCTCTTATCTCAGCCACTGCTGGAACAGGGATAAGAGAAGGCTCCAGACCTCCAGGAACAGGGGCCAATAAAAAGGGGCAACCCACAGACACATCACAGAGGGATTCTTTTCCCCCATTGGCAGGTCTGACACTGGATCCAGGACTAGCGATCTTTCCTTTTCTCTCTCTCTTCCTCTCTGTCTCTCTCTCTCCCTTTTCTTTTAAAGTTATTAAGTAACATAAGGCTTACCTTGATTTTCTGCAAAGCCACATGGCTTGGGTGGATGTAACTGTGAGAAGGCAAATATAACTGTGAGAGGGCCAACATGCTCCAGTGTTCATTCTATAGAAGCTTTCTATTAAAGTTGATGTTTCGTTTTGGACCTTGAGTGTTATCTCACCTTTTTCCACACCAAGGAGATCTGCAAATCTGAGTCACTCCCACCTTTTACCTAGGTGGGCTGTGACAGGAAGCCTATGGGTCTCCTGCATGTGGAGATGCCTCCTGTCAGAAGCCTTTCATGTGTGGCTCTGGATTTACAAGGAAACTCCCTTTTACCTGATGTAGTGAATTTTTACTTGACAGGCTCCATGTCTGCAAAGGAAAACATGGCTGACTTCTGTATTTCACGAAACAGTCTGTTGCCCTTACCCGCTCCTCTGTCACACCTCTGTGAGCTCCCTGTTCAAAGTCAGATGCTAATGACCCTGGTAATCAGCTTTGACTCTAACCAATTTATCAGCCATGTATTTCAGGCTGCATTAAATTTATTATCTAGGGTACGCCTTGCCTCATTTTCACAGGGCTACTGTGTTCATCATGTTTGTCCTGCTTCTCAGATTTGTTTTGCAGTCAAAGGAAAGCTTGTCTATTAGAGTTCTTACAGGTTTATCTACAGTGTAACCATGCCCTGCATGGTCTTCCTTGTCTTGCCTTTTGATAACAGCAGTCAGCACAAGCACAAGAGCTTTGGGCTGCTTACATCTCTCTCAGCCTTGAGGGAAAAAAAAATGTCACTTCAGGACATTTTCATGGCCATTCAGAGTCTATTCTCATTCTTGCCTTCTGGCTGCTGAGCTTTCAAAGTGTATTTGGCTTTATGGACAGCAAAACACAGAAAACGTTATTTCCATATCCAGCACTGATCAACACATGCAGCCTGATGGGGCCTTCTTCTCACAGGATGGAACAGAAAGTTTTCCAAACTAGGATCTGAATTTGCCAGAAGTACCTGGTTTGCA